AACTCACATCTTAGAATTTAAAAACAGGCTCATGGCTAAGAGGGTGAGACATCTACAGCCAGATGTTGTGTGATTCCACCCATAATCTCCATATAGAAAAATAACTATACCAATATTCTTAGTAGAAACATGTCAAATATGGGTGTTGACGTGTGTATCTGCAACCATCCACCCATAATCCCCATGTAGAAAAAAAATTATTCACAATTTTTGTTTTATATCACAAACTGGGTGGAATATTATGGCTATAAATGCCTAGGAATACATTTGACCCCTTTCTGACAAGAATAGAATATATTTTTTTTCTACATGGAGATTAAGGGTGAAATATTTTTATTTATTTATTTTTTTAACAAATAATTTTTATTCATAGAATACAGAACAATATAAACATCAATGACCTTTGCTTGTTATGAAGTCAAGTAGTACACAGTAACAGATGTTGGCTTCTTGAGAAACTCAATAGTACAATCAGATCAATGTTCAACATGAGGAATTCACAGATTGAAACGTTTATAAATGGCAAGTACAAACATCAAACGTGACGTAACACCCCTCCAAATCATTGGATTCAATCAACTCCATGGCCACAGGTGTATAAAATCAAACACCTAGGCATGCAGACTGCTTCTACAAACATTTGTGAATTATTATTATACAGGATTTATATAGAGCAGACAGTTTCCTTAGCACTTTAAAATATAAAGGGAGATAATACAGCAATGTGACAGTTCAATACTGTAATGGTTAGCAGGGCCCTGCTCCTCCTTAGAGCTTACAATCTAAGAGATATGTGAAAGAATGGGTCGCTCTCAGGAGCTCAGTGACTCCAAGCGTGGTCCCGTGATAGGTTGCCACCTGTGCAATAAGTCCATCCGTGACATTTCCGGGCTACTAAATATTCCACGCTCAACTGTTAGTGGGATTATAATAAAGTGGAAGCAACTGGGAACAACAGCAAATGAGCCACCAAGTGGTAGGCCACGTCACATGACAGGGCGGGGTCAGCACATGGTGAAGAGCACAGTGGACAAAAGTCACCAACTGTCTGCAGAGTCAATAGCTAAAGATCTCCAAACTTGGTGTGGCTTTCAGATTAGCACAGCAACATGAATAGAGAGCTTCATGGAATGGGTTTCCATGGCCGAGCAGCTGCATCCAAGTCTTCCATCACCAAGTGCAATGCAAAGCATCAGATGCAGTGGTGTAAAGAACTGGACTCTAGAGCAGTGGAGACCTATTCTCTGGAGTGACCAATCACGCTTCTCTGTCTGGAAATCTGATAGACGTGTCTGGGTTTGGAAATTTCGAGGAGAACAGTACTTGCCTGACTGCATTGTGCCAAGTGTAAAGTTTGGTGGAGGGGGGATTATGGTGTCGGATTATTTTTCAGGGGTTGGGCTTGGCCTCCTAGTTCCAGTGAAGGGAACTTTTAAGGCGTCAGCATACCAAGACATTTTGGACAATTTCACGCTCCCAACTTTGTGGGAACAGATTGGGGATGGCCCCTTCCTGTTCCAACATGACTGCACACCATTGCACAAATCAAAGTCCAAAAAACATGGATGAGCGAGTTTGGGGTGGAGGAGGAACTTGACTAGCCTGCACAGAGTCCTGACCTCAACCCGAAAAAACACCTTTGGGATGAATTAGAATGGAGAATGTGAACCAGGCCTTATCATCCGACATCAGTGCCTGACCTCACAAATGCGCTTCTGGAAGAATGGTCAAACGTCCCAATAGACACCCTCCTAAACCTTGTGTACGGCCTTCCCAGAAGAGTTGAAGCTGTTATAGCTGCAAAGGGCGGGGCCACCTCAATATTAAACCCTACGGACTAAGACTGGGATGTCATAAATGTCCATGTGTGGGGAAAGGCCGGCCGACCAATACTTTTGGCAATATAGTGTAAATTTATTATGTATTTATCTTTTTTTTCCTCTCTCTTTTTCATTTGAGCATTCAGTGAATTTCAGGTGCATCAGATTAATACACAGAATGGAAAGTGGAGGTTACAAACTGTAATAAGGTCATCATGAATGGGGGGGGGGGGGTGCATTGGACCATTTTATTTCCCTCCCCTTTTACTTTACGTCATCTAATTTACTGAATTATGGACAGAAATAGTCCCTCTCTCGGAGATTGCAATTCTTACATTGATAAGACGTTTGAATATATAATTATAAACATCTTTCTTATCAATGTTTTCCCATCTGGCAGTAAGGAGCTCCCAGAGAGATCGGGATATTCTAACAGCTAACAGAGATAACCTGCAGATCTTGGCGGGGAATTAAAAAAAAAATCTGAAAAATATAAGACACATAAATAAAATAATGTTTGTTACAAATAAACTCGTAACTGTGAAAATGAATGGGATGAATTGCTGCAGACTAGATGTCCGCCTCCTCACATCCTCAGCGATAGATTGTCATTGTGCCATCAAAGTCCACACTGTCCTCGCCGGGATCGGATTGTCCTTGGAAGTGGGATTCGGAGAGAAAAGGCAGAAATCACATTGTATCTCCTCCCAGATCCGCACACAAGTCATGTCTCTTGTCATCTCGCTCTTCTATAGACAATACATTGCAGCCCTTCTGACTGTCCCTGTTAGTCCACAATTGTGCTGGATGGACCGAGATGGGCGACAAACGTTCTGCTTCTTAGTCCCGAACAGAGGAATCATCGGATCCGTGAGATCGGAGGAGGATCTTCTGTCATCCCATTCACTGTATTATGGGGGAATCCAGTCCGATGTCAATGGATGTAATTGTTACATTGTACAGGGAGTCTCTGATCTCTGATTATTAGCAGATCTCTGATTAATCTTCTCTTCTTTGGTAGTAAGGAGAGCTCCGAGCATTGTATGATGTGGAGGACCTCCCCTCCCCCACCCCTGACACAGCGGGCTTCTCTACCTACAGAGATAACGTGCAGATCCTGGCGGGCTTTTTGAAAATTCCGCTTTTTTTATGTAACCCAATCATTAGAAGGGGCGTGACGTAGTTCTCCAATCAGAGGGCAGGGATGTGTATAAATCTCTCTGCAGAGCGGCTTCAGTTCCCATTCCCAGCCCAGATCTGAGAAGTAATGGCTCGTACCAAGCAGACCGCCCGCAAGTCCACCGGAGGGAAAGCTCCCCGCAAGCAGCTGGCCACCAAAGCCGCCCGCAAGAGCGCCCCGGCCACCGGCGGAGTGAAGAAGCCTCACCGCTACAGGCCCGGCACCGTGGCTCTCCGAGAGATCCGCCGCTACCAGAAATCCACCGAGCTGCTCATCCGCAAGCTGCCCTTCCAGCGCCTCGTCCGAGAGATCGCCCAGGACTTCAAGACCGACCTGCGCTTCCAGAGCTCCGCCGTCATGGCTCTGCAGGAGGCCGCAGAGGCTTATCTCGTCGGACTCTTCGAGGACACCAACCTCTGCGCCATCCACGCCAAGAGGGTCACCATCATGCCCAAAGACATCCAGCTGGCACGCCGCCGCATCCGCGGAGAGAGGGCCTAGACCCCCCCGCAACAGACATTCCACACAACCCGCCAACCAACGGCTCTTCTCAGAGCCCCCACCTCCCCCCACACAGAGCTCTACACTACCGAACTACAATGAATAGGATAGACCGGAATCTATAATACAAGTTATCGGGCAATTCCTCCTCTCGGCGCCCCGGGACCGCCATTCCTTTACTGGTTTTATTCGTTTCTACAACTCATAACTAGACATGGAATGTGAGACATACAATGAGATCCATCCGAATGGGCCCCTTCCAGACGGAGATGTCACTATGGGGGGGTCAGTTATGTCCTCTCTTACCTCCTCCGATACTACATCGGGGTCATCACAGATCACATCGCTCCGCCGGGGCGGCACACGCGGACACACCGGGATGATTCTTCCTTCTGCTCTCCGTGTGCCGCCCCGGCTGGTTTTCTATGGAAAATACAATTCATCATTCTGGAGAATCTGGAAACTCCCTGAAACCTTTTCTGTCTCACGATTCCCTATCGATCATCTGGGGGGTAATCATTGCTGCAACTAGAACAGGTGACATTTTGGCGGGACATTAGAAATGTTCCTTTCCACCAATCAGAACATCCGACGTTTTATCTGTCAGCCAATAGCAGACTGTAGCGGATCTTCCCTGGAGACTCGCAGAGCCCGAAGATCGGTTGTTTTCCTCCAAATGGCACCTGGAAAGCCGCTCCCCGTGTTGTATTGTAGAGGCGATCCATCCATAGGAAGGAGTCCATTGTCCGCACAACACGATGTTCTCGGTGCGATCATTAGATCCCGTCCAGAGGATGATGTGTCCCCGATCATTACATGGCGTTTCCGTACAACTTCCACAATGGCCGCAATAATAATGAAGGCTGGGAATTCCTTGTAGAAGGATCGGGAAATGTTCATTGTTACCCCTCCCCCCCCATCCCACAGTGTGCGGGAAATGTTCATTGTTACCCCTAGAAATTCTGAAGGACCCTCTGCACACTGGTATATACCCTTTCAAGCAGACTATGCAATAAATAGGGATATTTAGATCACACATATTGCAATACATGTTTAAACTGGTCAACTGCGTCAAAGTAATCCCTCTATGGCCAGTCCTACTCTGCTCTGCCTACGCAAATGCTACCGAGGACACAATGCTAACATAGGGGAAAAGACAATGGTGAATGTTGTTACCCCCCCCCCCCCCCCCCACCGACAGTGTGCGGGAAATGACAGATCTCCAATCCGCATATGACCGATGTCTGTGTGTGGAGGGGGGTCGGGCCTGTGAAATGTATCGGGGGGATCTCTCCTTTGGCCAACCAGTAATCATTTGTAGGATTGGAGGAATCATTGGATGACCTATAAGGGACAAGTATACAATGTATGGAGACAGGAGGAGGGAGAAGACGGCTCGTGGTCGGTGTATGTATGGAGAGCTCTGTTGGGAGGAGGTGGGGGGCTCTGAGAAGAGCCTTGGGGGGGGGGGGGGTGGAGATGAAGGAGGTCGCCGCCCATTACTTCTTCGGAGCGGCCTTCTTGGGCTTAGCCGCCTTCTTAGCTGCCGGCTTGGCCTTAGCGGGACTCTTGGCGCCTTTTTTCGGCTTGGCTGCAGCTTTGCTCTTCTTGGGGCTCTTGGTCACCTTCTTGGCGGCAGCCTTTGCTGGTCTCTTGGCGGCCGGCTTCTTCTTGGGGCTCTTGGCTGAGGTGGATGATTTGCTGGCCGCCTTCTTCTTGGGGGACTTGGCGGCCTTCTTGGGACTCTTGGCTGCGGTGGGGGCTTTGCTGGCCACCTTCTTCTTGGGGGACTTGGTAGCCTTCTTGGCGGCCGGTTTCTTGGGCTTCGCCTTGGCGCCGTCGGGCTGCTTCTTGTTGATCTTGAACGATCCGGAGGCCCCATGGCCTTTGACCTGGACGAGGCTCCCCTTAGTCACCAGCGCCTTGAGGGCGATCTTCAGGCGGCTCTTGTTCTTGTCCACATCGTATCCTCCGGCGGACAGGACCTTCTTCAGGGCGGCCAGGGACACCCCGCTGCGCTCCTTGGAAGCGGACACGGCTTGGACGAGGAGCTCAGACACGGCAGGACCGGACGCCTTCTTGATGCCTTTCTTGGCTCCTCCTCCGGCTGACGCCTTCTTAGCCGGCCTCTTCTTGGCGGCGGCCTCCGCTGGAGGAGCGGCGGCTGGGGCGCTCTCAGTCTCCGTCATGACTCGGGAAATGTTTCCACAATAGTTCATTACTAATTATACGGCGCTCCGCCTTATATACAGACCTTCTAACGCTGCGATTGGTTGACACACAACTCCACTCTGTCCTGCTATTGGTTACACATCAGACACGCCCACCCTGTGTAATTCCAGTGTTGGAGTATATTTTCTCCCTTCATGTGTTTCCCCGCTAGATATAAAACAGATTTTATTCCAAAAATAGGACGATGTCCGATGTGCACCGGGGAGCCGATCTGCTCCCTGGACTGATGTCACTTATCGGGGGTCACTTCCAGCTGTCAGGAGCTGCTCACGAGGCTGAACACAGAGGCTGCAAACACAACCATCCTCCGGAGTGGGGGGCCCATTCTGCCTTCTACCTGCTTGGGGGGACACATTCTACCCACAAAACAATCTGCTCCCATCCCCCACTACAATCCGCTTCACATTACACGAGGGAAGAGGGGGGAGATCGCCAAACATTTCCCTCTAATACACAACTCGGCTCATCTCTAGCTGACTACAAGGAGCCGGGAACAAAAACATCGGCCGATCACAGGAGATCCTTGTGTCCTGTCATGGCAGACATTGGGACAGATACAAAGGGCTCCGCCCATTACAGGGTGTCACGTGTCATGGCCTAGGGGTCATTATTGGATCATCATCACTAGAGATGAGCGAATCGAACATGGCGAAGTGGAATTCGTTTAGAAGAATAGGAAAAATTTGATTTGCGCCGAATCCGAAAATTAGCAAACTTCGGATGCACGAATAAAATTTTCCCAAAAATGGCGGCGACATGTGTGGCGACGGAGCGGGGGATCTCTGGGAAGGCACGCAGACAAGGCGCGCTGACCCATAATGCATTCATTCATGACATGTGATCGCATTAGCCAATCAGCAGCCAGCCAGCCAGCACTGTGTAATGGTGGAGCTATAAATCGCGGCCATCTTAGAATTCTCCATTAGCCATTAGGTCATTCAAGAGAGACAGACCTGTCTGTATTAGGGACAGAGTTAGGGCCACAGAGACTTTAGGGCCACAGAATCGTTACTCAGGGCCACAGAATCGTTACTCAGGGACACAGAATTGTTACTCGGACACAGAATCGTTACTGAGGGACACAGAATTATTACTCAGGGAAACAAAATTGTTACTCAGGGACACAAAATCGTTACTCGGGGACACAAAATCGTTACACGGGGACACAGAATCGTTACTCAGGGACACAGAATCGTTACTCAGGGACACAGAATCGTTACTGAGGGACACAGAATTGTTACTCGGGGACACAGAATTGTTACTCGGGGACACAGAATTGTTACTCGGGGACACAGAATTGTTATTCAGGGACAGACACAGAATTGTTACTCGGGGACACAGAATCGTTATTCGGGGACACAGAATCGTTACTCGGGGACACAGAATCGTTACTCGGGGACACAGAATCGTTACTCGGGGACACAGAATCGTTACTCGGGGACACAGAATCGTTACTCAGGGGACACAGAATCGTTACTCAGGGACAGACACAGAATTGTTACTCAGCTACACAGAATCGTTACTGAGGGACACAGAATCGTTACTCGGGGACACAGAATTGTTACTCAGCTACACAGAATCGTTACTGAGGGACACAGAATCGTTACTCGGGGACACAGAATCGTTACTCGGGGACACAGAATCGTTACTGAGGGACACAGATAATCGTTACTCGGGGACACAGAATCGTTACTCGGGGGACACAGAATCGTTACTTTCTGCTTCACAACCACTATTGAATTAAAGAGTATGTCAGACAACACGCAGAGGAGGAGGCAATGTTTCAGGAGCGAGCAGACGTGGCAGCAGAGGAAGGGGTCGAGGCAGCACTAGTCGCAGCCAGAGGCCAGTGCTCCCGGTGTCATCCAGCGGTCGTGTCTCCACCGACAACCCTGCCGTCATCGATTGGTTGACTCGGTCGTCTTCCTCTTCCCAGGTCACCTCTGACACCTACAGCCAACGGTCGGTGGGTACGTCAGACACAACCGTTAGTTGGCATGGCCCGGGAGCAAGCCCACTGAAATCACGTGTCCTCTACCTGCCCCTGTCCTTTGGTGTTCCCTCACCAAGCGAAGTATCGCATGCTGTGGGCTCAGCCCCACTGTACAGTGAGGAAGAGCTAACAGAGGGCGGGTCAGGAACGGGGGGAGACATCCGCCTCTTCAGCAGCCAGGCGAAGAAGTAGTGGCGAGGAGAGTGGCTCGGTAGCCGGTCTAGAGACAGGTCTGTCTCCTGACCCACACGCAGCCGAGGGGGCTAGTAGTGACGCGGAGACCCTAATTGATGATGATGAGGCTGATCGCACTTGGCAGCCTCGTCGTCATCAGGCTATTGCTTCCGCATCATCAGGAGAAGAGGGTGCCAGCTTGCCAGCGAGCAAAACAGTCGGTGGGTTGCCCAGGAGGCAGCAGGGTCGCAGCAGTGTCAGTGGAGCCAAACGGCCACGGAGTAGAGCACCAGCTCCACTGCAGCCTACCACCACGGCCAGTAGTGGTGCTGTTGTGCACGGAGGAAGTAGCAGTCAGCCAGTGAGGAGTAGCGGGGGCAAAGTCTCCTACTCGGCGGTGTGGCAATTTTTCGTCAAGCCGCCCGAGGAAGTAAACGTAGCCATATGTCGACTATGTGGCCAGAAAGTCAAGCGTGGCCAGGGGGCCCATGTTAGGACTACAGCGTTGCGTCAGCATATGCAGCGTCGCCATTTCGGTGGCCTGGGAAAACCGTGATAAAGATACGGCGGCGTCTGCCCTGCCCGCCCCCCGCCCCATCCCCGCTCCGTTACTTGCTCCGTCACCCGACGTCAATCGCCCTCTATCAGCCAGTCAAGGCTCCAACACCTCTGCTGAGGGGAGTTGTCGCTCGTTGGCATCTTTCCGCTCGTTCAGATGCTCCTTCTCCTGCTACTCCTCTTCACGGATTCCGTCAGCAGCAGTCTTTCTTGGAATCCGTTTCCAGAGACAACAGTTTGCGAGCACGCACCCGACGGTGCAGAAGCTGAACGTCCTCCTGTCCAAGTTGCTGGTGCTGCAGTCCCTCCCTTTCCAAGTGGTGGACTCAGCACCTTTCCGAGAAATGATGGCTTGTGCCGAGCCGCGGTGGAGAGTGCCAAGCCGGCATTTTCTTCGCCAAAAAGGCAGTGCCAGCCCTGCATTCACATGTAGAAGAGATGGTGGGCCAGTCTTTGAGCATGTCGGTCTCTGCCAAAGTGCACGGCAGCGCCGACGTGTGGAGCTGTAACTACGGTCAGGGACAGTACATGTCATTTACGGCCCACTGGGTGAACGTGGTGCCGGCACAGCCGCACCAGCAACTTGGAAAGGTCACGCCGCTTTTGCCTCACGTTTGCGCGTCCTTGGTCCAGCAAACATGTCCGCCTCTACCACCTCTTTCTTCCGCCGTGTCCTCAGCCGCCGCCACCCCCGTGCCAAGTCCCATTACCCGACCCGGCATATCACATGTGCAGGGCGCAACGGTGTCACGCTGTGCTGCACCTGGTATGCCTTGGCGAACGTAGTCACACAGGGGAGGAACTTCTGAGTGTAATGAACAGAGAAATCGACAGATGGCTGTCTCCGCGCAAACTGAAAATCGGAACCATGTTGACCGACAACGGAAAGAACATGGTGTCTGCTCTGCGTCAAGTAAGGTTGTGCCATGCGCCATGCATGGCTCACGTGTTCAATCTGGTTGTCAAGTGGTTCCTAAAATCCACCATCTCACTGCAAGACATCCTTAAAATGTCACGTAAACTTTGCATGCATTTCAGCCATTCCTACACCGCAAAGCACACCCTCCTTGAGCTGCAGCGGCAGACAGAACAGAATTCCACAGCATCGCCTGATCTGCGACGTTGCAACAAGGTGGAATTAAACCCTACACATGGTAGACCGCCTTTACGAACAGCAAAAGTCCATCACCGATTTCCTGATGTTACAAGCGGATAAAGGTACTCCCCTGTGTAACTTCGATGTCAGCCATTGGCAGCTCATGCGTGACACCTGCCGCTTGCTCAGACCCTTTGAGGGGGGGCCACGCTATTCGTGAGTCGGCAGGACTATGGGTATGAACGACGTCATTCCTCTGTTGCACGTCCTGGAACAAATGCTGTTAACAATGGCTGGTCAGGGTGCAGTAGACGTGGCGCACAGATCTCAACGCCACATGACCCCTGTGGGGGCAGGACAGGAAGAAGAGGAGGAGGTAGAGGAGGACATTTGTGCTCAGGAATTATTGAGTGAAATGGGTGGTTTTTCACTCAGCGGACAGGAGTGGAGGAGCAGGAGCATCTGGTAGAGGAGGAGGAGGAGGAGACAGAGGACCAGACGCACCGTGGCAGTATGCTGTGGAGATGGAGGCAGGGAGTCCCTCGCATTCCTTGGCACAAATGGCCCATAGCATGCTCGCTTGCTTGCGTAGCGACAGCCTGGAATAATAACCATCAGACAGAGGGATGACATTGCAGCAGCTAGGGCTAGGCTGGAATTAGCAGTTAGCCTGCTCCTCCCAGCAGCGTGCTGACTCCGCCAGGCAGTCGCTGAAATATGCCAGTAGCAATTCTGGGCCAGCTCGTAACGGAACACTGACTAATCATGCTCGCAGCCAGGTCAAGCAGTCCTCAGGAGACCATGAGCAGGTCCTCAACACCAGGATTGGGCCCTACTTGGAGAGCTACCCTCCCAAATGCTGCGATGTTAACTCAATCGCCTTTGACTTCTGGTGGACAACGAAATTGTGACACGTTCAGGTCTCTCACCATTGCCTGAGATGGCGTTCACATTTCAGGATACACATGCCAGTGCAGTAGCGTCGGCAGATTACTGAGAACTTTGTGTTTAGTGCGGCACATTGCATGCTGTCAACTCCCGCGAGAGGGGGGTTAAGGGGGGGAGGACACTTAGGCAGCCCCACAAAGTGTGTGGAGATTCTCTCAGGCTGCTGAAAATTGAATCCAGGAGTGGTA